TGTCATGATGAAACGCATAAATTAAATTTGTTTGTAGTTATTGTAATCATAAAATTTGTTAAAAAAATATTGCTGAAAGAATGTGTTTAAAAGAAATGTTAAAAAGGTATAGTTTTTTAATACCTATAATTTTTTTAATATTTATAATTTCAAGTAATTTTTATTGGAAAGATATACTTCATTAAATATTTATATACTGTTATTTTTTAAGTAAAAACTGTTCCTTTTTCGTTAATAATTTGCATTTTGTTAATTAAAAAAATTTGTTCAAAAGACAAATACTCTGTTTTTGTTAACAATTTATGTTTTTGATGATAAATAAATACATAAATACATGCATTTTAATATTTCTGCATTGTATTAGTGATCTTTTTTTCTTTAGAATATTAAATATAAAAAAATAATAGTTCAAAGTTTCAATGATTCCAAGTTTCTTCACTTGAAGCAAATAATTGTTTATAGAGGTTTTCTATTATTAATTTTGTATTTACATTAAATACATTACAAAGTAATGAATGGGATTGTATGATGGGGGATTACATTTAACTGTTCAATGACAGCAGTACTTACTGAGCAGACAGGCCTTATAATTTTATCAATTTGCTTTATTTATGAGTTTTTATCTATAAAATTTTAATTGCTTTTTATTCATTTTTTTTTTTAATTAAATACTTATAATATTTTGTCAGTAATTAATAAGAACTACCTTATATATATACATCAATTTAACTTTAGTTCAAGTTCTTGATAGAAATATGTTATCTTTACGCATTGCTCAATTATTTTAAAACACCAAATTTAAATATGACTAATAGTAGAGTAGAATATAATTAGATTATTATATTATGTTGTTTTATTTGCTTACACTGTATTTTTGATGAGTTTAAGAAAGAAAACTCAAAGTTCAATCATAAAAAAAAAATGTTCAACTTTTATTATTTTAAAGCATCATTTTTACACACACTCCTTTGATGCTTAATTATGTCTGATAATTTAAGAAGTGAAATTATTAACACACACTCCTTTGATGCTTAATTATTTCTGATAATTTAAGAAGTGAAATTATTAACACACACTCCTTTGTTGCTTAATTATGTCTGATAATTTAAGAAGTGAAATTATTAACACACACTCCTTTGATGCTTAATTATGTCTGATAATTTAAGAAGTGAAATTATTAGACTTACTCAAAATAAGGTTAGGAAAACTGAATAAAGGTTAGGAAAACTGAAATAAATTGTTGTCAAAATAAAGAGATGAGCCTAGACGAGCTGAGACAAATTTTAATCATAATGAAGGAAATTAGGCTAGGCAATAACTCAATAGATATAATATGCATCACATAGCAAATTTTGTTATTTTATTTCTTTAGTTCAACTCAGGTGCTCTACAACTATCATATGTTTACTTTGTCTACTGTTTAAATATGGTTTTAACTTAGTAAATTTTAATTATTTAAAATTTGCCAAGTTGATCATTAGCTAATAGTTTAAAAGGAAATTAGTTGTCGCAATCAAGGTAAGAATAATTTTATTTTCTGATCAAATTGCAAATTTGCGCGCACCGATAGCTATTATGTTTTTGTCATTTTGTGTAATAGCTAATTGTTTTTTCAATAAAAATCTTTTCTTACAGATTTTGACTATTTTTAACAATGCTTTTGAAAAAGCTTTAGCAACAGGTAAATTTGTTTGTAGTGTTAATCTTTTATGTTTTTACTTCTTTCATCAAGTCTTAATTTATTATTATTATATATTTTTTTATTTTAGACATCTCACAATGCTTTTTTAGTTCATTGCAGATCAAATAGAGGGCCCACTCTCATAAGGCTACATACGGGCTTAAATTTATGGAAAATTCTCTGCCGCCCCCACCCCCTTTTTTTTTTTTCAGTAGAGAGTAAAGTATGAGGAGAGAGAAAGGTGGGAAAAAAATGCGCTGCATCTATAATTAGTATTTTTGTAGTTGGTTAATCTACCAATTGGTAATTGATAATGCAAATTTAGTTGAATTTTATTTGTAAATATATACTTTTCTCTATATATTTTGTCTATTATGTATAAATAAATTGATTTGCAGTTAATTCATGTGGTGTACTTTTTTCCTTTTTTAATTCAATTACTTTTTTTAGATTAATCAGATGACGTCTTTGTTGAATATAGACATACAATTAAAAACTATTAAAAATTTTATATTTTTTTAATTTGTTACTAAATGCGTAAATAAAAATATCGTTAATTTTACAAAGTTATTAGGCATTTTTTTGAAACCACAATCCGTCATGATTCGTATTTTATCTGTGTGAACAAAAGTCTATGCAAATATCTGACGTAAACTTCAAACTATGTCAATTATTAAAAATTATATCAAATACACATTTACTTTTACTTGAAAATTTTATTAGGCTGATATTTGCTTAGTTTTGATTAATATGAATTTTTATAAAGCATTTATATGCCATTTTATAAAGTTTAATAAGTCTTTAGTTTATTAAACAGTGTTAAAAGACAATATTGTAGCATGCCAAAGTGGTTGAAGTAATTTGCGTAGGTCCAAACCTTTTTGTTTGCACACTTAATTTTTTTTTTAAATTTTTTCTATTCTCTAGAATACAAAATAAAGCAATTTTAAAGGTCTATAGCGATTATATGCATATCATATATAAAGATATTATATACTATAACAAACTAAAGGGAAAAATTTTTTAAAAAGCTTTTTTTAAAATTTCTAAATACATGAAAACACCGTTGAAAATTTGTTTCGCGCATGTCACGATAGAGTTTAAGGTTTTAATGTGCTTAGTAATAGATAATTGTGCGCATTAAAGAGATAACTTTCTTTTTTATAGAAAAAAGAATTTACATAGAAACTCTACTTTTCTTTAAAAGGGCAAGAGTCCTGGGCAAGAGTCCTAATAACAGGGATCTTTTTCAGGATTTTTCTAAACTTTAAATTTTTCTGGATAACCAAAATATTTTTCATACATATACAAGTTTAGGAATACATTTTTGTAATATATTTGTTTTTTAAGCTTTTTTAAGCACTCATCACTCATACTGATATTTAAAAAAATTGAAACAACTCAGCTAAAAGCAAAATTAAGAGGAAAATAAGGGAAAATATAATATGGATATTTTAACCAAACAATTTTCTGGATTTTAATAAAATAACCTGGATGATCTATGGAATAAACTGCAGATGGCCTGAAAAAAAGTTAATAGAAACTTTTTAAAGAAAAAAATTATAAGGTCCATCCCCGTTTTTTATATGTGTATGTAAAAGTTTACAGAAGTTGTAAAGTATTGAAAGTTAATCGTTAACTTAAAACAAAGATTTTTATATTTTAGTCTTTTTTAAAAATCATTTAAATAAAACAAAATTATTAAAATGATAGGTGTGGAATAGACTTACCATGACCAATAATATACTAATATTCAGTAATAATTATACGGGTCATGGTAAGTCAGTTATTCCACATATTTAAGTCATCTCATGTTTTTTAAAACTTTTTATACCAATGGTATATAATTAACACATTTCAAGTGGGTATTCTAAGTATTATTTACACTGGTACTGATATCCAATTCGTTGATAAATAGTGATTCACGAAACGTGAAAAGTTTTTTAAAGTTAAATGTAATAAAAAATTTTGTTTGTAGCTTTAAAAAGTAAACAAGTACTATTATTATATGTATTTAACTATTTTTCTACCTCTATAATATATAACTATTCTATATATTGAAGTATAAAATATATCGAATAAGTATAGAAAAGGATGGCGTGAAGTTGATTTACCAAGATTCGTATTATATGGGTCATGACAGCTAGTTATACTTATAATTGATTATTAGCTGCGGTCTGTTTTAAAGAAAAACCTGCAAAAAAAAAAAATTAAACAAAAAAATAACTAAATATTTAGTAGATGAGCAATAAATAACCATTTATTTTGTGATTTTATATGTAAATATTTTAGTTTAATATTATATATTTATGTTTTAATAATAATATTATACATTTTATAAGTGTTTTGCGTGCTTCAGTCTTATAGCTTGATTATGCATTTAATTGAGTATTTGCAAGGTCTAAGTCAAATATGTTAAACAGAAATTGTTTTGTAGCTAAACCAAATCCATTGTTTCATAAGAAGACAAAATATTTTTGCTTATTTAATTTAAAACAAAAATACTATTTTATTATTAAAACTAAAACATTTTTTTTCTTCAGGATTCACACCCCAACCACAGAAATATTAAGGTCAAGTAATATCTACAAGACATCCAAGTATTTTCCATCAACATTCAAATAGGACAACACTATAATAGGAAAAGGGTAAGTGTTTATACATCTTGGTTTGGGCAAGTCAAGTTGTAGACAGATAATATCTAAGTACAAAAGATATTAAGCAGGGATCAAATTAAGCGTAATGCAATCACAAAATTGCAATTACTTTTTCACCTTCCAGATAAGTTGTTTCTTATAAAAAAAAATTTTATTTTTTATGATTTTTTTAAATTTTATACTTCAATATTTTTGGCCATTTTTAAATATATAGAATAAATGTTTTTGCCTGAATTTTGTACAAATCCAACCTCCTTACTGAAATGTAGACAGGCAGGGAGAGGATTTCAAATAAAAAATTATAATAAATTTTTGCAACTAATTTTTTTTTTGCCTTAATTCAAGCTCTGTTAAATAAACAAACAAAAATATAATTTTACTATTTACAAATCATTTTATAGAAAAATCAAATTGAGTCCCATAACCTAAAACTTACCTTATGACCTGAAATTTATTCTTAATGATCTAAGTCTGGTGATAAGTATAATATAAAATAATAAAAACAAAACTTATATAATTAAAATAATATTGATAAATTTATAGAGAGTAAAATAAATGGATGCATAATAAACTTGTAAACATCAAGTCTTAACAAATTTGTTATCATTTACAAAAAATATTTGTTTAAAAAATGTAAAAAAAAAAAAAACACAATTAAATACCTTCTTCATCGTCTACCTGTTGAAGTTGAAATCTTGGTTCTTCTTTCTGCAAAAACAATATTCTAGTTTTTAATATTATTCAATAAAAAAAACTTAAACACATATAAAACCATATATTAAAAAAAAACTAAAACAATATTAATTTTTAATTATGATAATTTAAGTATTAAACATCAAAAGTAAAACATCATTCAGTATCAAAGTGCTTTCTAGCAAGTTTTGCTAATAACTACTTTTTCCTATAATTTTATAACTTTTTTCTTATTACATAAGAAAAAAGTTATAAGATTAAAGTTGAGAAGGGAAATTGTTGTTAGCTGTAATGAATAGTTCAATATTTTACAACAGATAATTTAAAGTTGTATGAAGATCATAAAATAGCATTCCTTAAAATTAAAAAAAGTTATTTAATTTGAATGTAAGAGGTAAGTTATTATAATTTTGGTTCCAAACAAACAGGCAATTTGATAGTTAAAAATCTAAGTGAAATAAAAAAAAAAGGTTGAATAGAAGAAAAAAAATGTTGCCATCAATATAAAAATATCAACAACATTGCAACAACTATTAGTAATAACTAATTTTTGTTTGAGCTAAAATTTCAAAGGCCCAAGCTGTCACAGAAGGAAGGTCATCTTTAAAATTGGCTGCCTTTTATAAGAAATTTAATTTTTGTAAAGATTGAAGTGTAAAGTTGAGTCATCAGCAGGGATGCGGAGACCCAAAAAGAACTTCGGATTTGAAAGTCACAAAAAGATTACTTCTTCCTAGTTTTTGTTATATAGGAGCTCTAAAAATATAAATAAACATATGAACTACTATGAGAAAAAATGCTTTTATTGGGAGTTTTGGATCCCTTTAACATCTATACTATGCAAAGTTATGGAAGTATTTATGAAAATATACTTTCTGAAAATAAATGCTTTGAAAAATCAACATGACTTTGTAAATAATAAATCATGTGTAACATTTACTTGAAACATTTAACGTTTTAACAACATTTTAGCAATAGATAGCATTTATATGGATTTTGCCAATGCTTTTGATAAAGTCCCATTTAAATGATATTAACAAATGTAAAGCATATGGCATCAAGAGTGTACTACTTGACTAGATATCATCTTTTTTTTAAAAAAAAAAAAAGCAAAGAGTTGTAATGAGTGAATATGTGTAAACATGGCTTGAGTTTTTTAGTAGTGTACCTCAAGGTTTTAGATATTTGTGAAAGTTCTACCATCAATTGTTAATTCAAATTGCAATTTATACACAGATGAAAGTATGACCAATGATGATAAAGAGCATACATTAGACACAACAGTAAACAAAAAACATTTTCTAATCTCAAATGGCACGATCAAGTGAGTTCAATTACTATATATGACATTTGTGAGACCCATTTTTAATTTGCTATACCAGTATGACAGCTTTATGACAGGATATTAATGTTAGAAAATAGGCAAAGAAGAGCAACAAAATTAGTTCAACAA